CATTAAAATTCATAGAAGAAGAAATTTTGTATTCGACACGCGCAATTGTTTCGTACAATTTTAATCTCGCACAAAGATCTGCCGTATAGCGATCGCGATATCGTTGTACAAGATCATGCGAAATTACGCAAATTAAGTAAATATAATCTGGTTAACAATTTTACACGATCCGATACGAAAGTGCAATAAAAAGTCCAAGTATTTTGCCAGCGACGCATATTCTCCGTTGCAGTTGCCGTGGAAAATATTTCAGAAACAATGACAATAATATGACAATAGTCTCGGTGCTGCGATTAACTCGTAAACCCCGTGTAATTATCACTCGTAAACCGTACTTTACGAACCATCCGGAACGCCAGATCCCTAGACCTCCGTCTTCTGCGATAAAAGTCCTAGAAAACTCGTGCTTTCCAACTTCGATCAATCCTGCACAATAAAATTACCTCCGGCGTTCGTGCAAAGTAATCCCGTTTGGTTAACACTTTCAAGAAAACGTGATTTTCTCGAATTATTCCTAACGAACTTCATCGGCGAATCGAGTCGATTGTCTCGGATAGACGAGATTTTCAATTAACTAAAAATCCAACGGGGACGTTAAACTCACCCTACGCTTGAAGTGTACACCACGTTACGTTTCTATCATATCCATTGCATATCCGTTACTGATTGGATTTTTGTTTTAAACGATTAGTCGATTTAAATGTATGTACTCCACTGTACATGAGTTTAGAAATATAGTTTATTTCACGGATTAATTATGTTGTCCTACAAACTTAACGTTATTTTTTGGAGAATATGAGCAATATTTGTTAGCAAACAGTATTAAGAAATTTAATATGTTTCATTCGATAAATATAAAGTTAATTATGCCCAAAAACAAACGAAAAACATTTGGTCACCCTATAGTAACGTGATCATTACTCTGTTTATTAAGAAAATTGCACGATTTTCGAAAAAAAACAAATGTTTATAATAATATTAATAATATTTAATTCCTTAGAACAGCGATCGTTTAACTCAAAACTGTAGCTCGCATTTTTTTGAGCAACTTTTCGGGAGAAGGTGGCACCGTGCGACGCGACCGAAGCGATAGAGAACAGGAGGAACGCAAGATGGCGGCGGAGCATCGCGGGGGTGGAGCCGCAGTTTTTTCGCGTAGCATGGCGGAGATGAAGGAGCAATTTTCAGAAGTAAAATCGTTTCTACCGAAGCGCTATCGATCCGGCCGAACTGCGCGCTTCAGGATAAAAGAAAACACGCCGCCCGGAGAGGGAAATGTTATAAAAGATGAGTGCCGCGGAAGCAGAAGTAATAGGCAGGACCGGCGGGTACGGGGGCGGGATAAAAAAAAAGGCCATAATGGTTCGACGAGCAAAGACTCGCGGCCGGCTATCCCCGTTTTCCTTCGCCGGATTCCGCGCAATAATTAATGAATATGAAAGAGAGCCTGACAGCGGCCGGAGCCGGTCGTTATCTTTATTTAAATCCCACGGACACAAGGCGCTCTCCCGCGATTTAATCAACCCGAAGAATCTGTTTATCCCTTCGTTTGTTCGATGCTTCGGACACCGAACCGCACAGACGCGCGCCAGCTGGAACGAAGAAATACGGAAATTTTGCGAGAAACGCATAAAATGGAACACACTTGTCCGAATATCAAAACGATCGGAGTCGGGCAAAATGTGATCGGAGGAACGACCGACGATTACGATCACCGGACTGCGCAAATTTAAAATGGTAATGGTCGATGTATCATTACAATGTATCAAATAAATTTCTATGCGCGAGAAAATAAAAATAAAAAAGTTGAGCCGACGTTCTTTTCGTAGAACTTAGAATTGACAAATGCAGTAATATTTGCCGAGGAAAACAGTAAAATCGTCTCACAAGAACGCAAAGATCTCTGAGAAAGTACGAGAGAAAAATAAGTTTCAATACGAAAAGAGTAGTTACGTCTAAGGAAAAGAGTTACGACTGATTTAATCAGATAAAAATTTCAATATTAATACATTAATAAAGATGAAAATAGTCATTTAGTCCTTATTTCGTAGACTCATTAGTGGACTGTGGATTTGTATGCATTAATAACAAAAATAGATGGACGATAATATTATTTAGAACTTTTAGCTCGAAGGCAAGCCGAATGAAAATTAGGGAGAATTTACTGTAGTTCGGGAACAGAGAGTTTTGCTGGGACCGTCGTCGACCCTTTCAGCGCCGACTAAAATGAAAAAGTATAACGGAAGACATATCTGCGGCGCGTCGTTCTCCCGACTCGGGTTTGTTGCTCCATCGGCGGCGACGCGAGCCTCGCGCGAGCCCCGAGACTTTAATTGTCGATAAAAATGGATTAAGGAGAATTAGGTTCGCGGAAGGTCTGCTTGAATCCACTTTAACCGTTGCTTTTCTGCCCCGATCGATTGACCGATGTTCATCGGGATTAACGCGGCGGAGTTCCCGTCTTTGCCGGGAGGATCCGGTGAAATAGTGTCTGACGGTGCGCGCCGGCTCTTTCAACTATTAAAGTTTATGTTTACGCCCGGATAGTTTCATAGGATTCCCTATTTAGTCCTCCGGTCCTCGCCCGGGGAATATTTAGTTTATTACCCGGCCCGGTGCTCCGCAGACCGCAGTTTTCAAACTCCAGGAATTTTATGGGCCACTCCTGCTTTATAGGGGAGCGCTGTTAATTGTTACTTACGGGAGATTACGCTTCTTTAGATTTCATTAAGGGATATCCTTCGAATAATGGGAATACGTCTGGCATGATTCCTCGCGACTTTTCCGTCGGTCGTTCTGCTACGAAAGCACCGCGCAGCGCCGCGATCCTTGTTAGACTATACCATAAAAGTAATTATTTTATAGCCGAAATTTGCAATAGTTACAATTGAAGCTTGCTTTCGGTTGAATTATTTCGAATGACAGCGCGAATTTTGCTAGATTGATCGAATCAAAGATTGCAGATTTTGTACGTTCATAAAGAAAATTAATAAATCGGATTTGAAATTGTAAAATAATTTATTAGCTGAACTGTGTCGTCGTATAATCGATAAATACGCGTGTTAGTGAATATTGCAATGAATCGGGTAATATTGTAATAATATATAATATTGACTGCGGATTTTATGCATTTACGGCAAGAATGAGCTGGATGAGAAGAGATTAGAAGAAACTAAGATCATGGTCGAATTAATTTCAAGACTTCGATATTATTTAAGATATTGCACTCGGCTCTTTCGTTTTGCAATTGATACAGACATGTTTTATTTTGCATAAAGATCCGCAGTCCAGTAATATGTTAGAGAATATCGTGATGAATGGAATAACACGTTAGCAAACATTGCAATAAATAGTATAATGTAAAGTTTGTTCTCTTGTCGTTTATGCATTGTTGATTGTACATTTTTATTCGCTCCATTGTCTCCGTCATAAATTGTGTTCTTTTATCGGTTCTGTCTCATGTTCATATCATTTACATTTTCCCCGTGCTGCATTAAATACGTTTATTATACACAACGAATTCTGTCGCAATTGAAAGAATTTAAAAGCATCGGGGTACTATCCCGAACGTATTCGAATTAATTAGAGGAAAAGCGACTTTCCATTTGCCTCCTGTTTCAAGCATTCGACGCAGAAGACTCCGCCATCTCGCTGTGCGAAAGTCTTTTACGCCTCGTGCAGAAATATTTTCCACAGAGAACGAAGTATCGTCGTTTAACGATTGCGGTAATTTTCAGCGAACTCGACGGACGATTAATGTTTCGTAAACCGAAGCGAAGTGTTACCAGCGATTGTGATATCGCGAACAATGTTGCGGATTTATGCAGGTATTAACGGGCACTTGGATCGAAACGTTGAGAACGGGCAGCTTGAACGAAGTCTTCCGACTCCCAATTATTTAAATTTGATTAATGACGGTTCGGCTCGCAGGGAGCCGGCAGCTATATATAGCAGGGAGAGGGTAAAATAAAATTTACTTTGTAATCCGTGATCGAGTAAACAAAGATTAATCATAGCTCGCGAAGATTGTACAAGGGAAGGAAGGACTTAATTTCGGCAAGAAAACTCATTCGTCTCGCTCTCCCCCCACCCTTTTCCTACCGTCAGTCCGCGTCAATTATTTCTGCTCGATCTATCTTGTCGAGTCTCGAGTCTTGCCTCGTTTTGTTATTTCGCTGGATCTGTCGTTACGTTTCTGCGTTAAGCCGTACGAAGCTGGACCGTAGCTTGCCCTTTGTTATCTTCTGCCACCGTTGTTTCACTGCGGCATTTAATTCCAACAATGTCTGAAATATGTTCCCGATCCGTTGGTGTTCAAACCAAAATTTTTAAACGAATGTTCTTCATTTGACTGAGCTTAATTTCTTGCATTTTATTCTATTCTATTTTCTTTATTTTATCTTATTTTCTTTATTTTATTTTCTTTATTTTATTTTATTTTCTTGATTTATTTTCTTTATTTTATTTTATTTTCTTGCTTTATTTTCTTTATTTTATTTTAATCTTATTTTACTTATTGATGCGAATAAATCTCATATATTCCACATTTAGAAAACTCGAACAATTCTCAATTAAACTTAATTCAATTTCTTTGGTTCTAAGTGTTTATGGACGAGTTAATGAACAATTGCTCAAGGAGCTCGAACTTCTACGCCACGTTCTCCCCGCGGACATAATTTTTTGACGTAGAACGCTTCATGCATATCTGACAACGACTCCGTGTAGATTCGATTAATTCCTTTGAGAAGTTCCGATACAGGGAATATATTCGTGAATTCGGTATGCAGTATGTCTGAAAGAGCCTGTAAATAAGATTCCGGGACAAAGCCCTAGATACATCTTCTTATGCAAAGAAGCCACCCAGGATAAAGCTCGATATAAATTGTCCTCTTAGAGGAGCCTGATGCTCGTCGACTCTTACCCGGGAAGATAAGGAGTCCGGGGACCGGCATAATGACACTTCGGCAATTTAAGGGCGGGGCCCCGATCAAATGACTTACCACCCTCGATGGAGATCGGCGTGATGCTCGTGTCGCCTCCTTTGATTTGCACGTTGCCGCGGTACCAGACGATCGTCGCCGCAGGTTTCGCCGATCTGACGATGCACTCGAGTCGTCGCGATTCGCCGACTTTCACCTCGATCGTCTTCCTGTCTGGGTGATTGCTGATTTCCACTTTCTGCGGAGGGGCTGCAACAATGTCAACATATTTCTGGTTAGTCTAGTCAGAATTGAGACGCTAAACAGCTGGATGTTTTTCGTGATTTTTATCGTAATAATGGATGGTGTGAGATATTTTTGTTGCAAACGATGGCGGTGTTATGTATACAAATCAATGATAATGCACTTTCCAAATAATTCACAGGTGCAATTAATTGGAATAAAATTTCTATTACATTTTGTAGTTGTACATATGCTGTATTAATAATTTTAAATAATTTTGAATAATTTTAAATAATTTTAAATAATTTTGAATAGCTTTGAATAATTCTAAATACTTTTAAATAATTTTAAATAACTTTGAATAACTTTGAATAACTTTAAATGTGCTTCCAAAAACGTATTGTGTCACGCATCCTGTTATGTAACACACGGTAAATATAAAATTGCCCTTTTGATATCAGAGGAGAAAATGACAGCCTACTTTTTTACACGCACGTATATTTAGACGTTGAAGTTGATTAACACTTCTTTGAGCGTCTTAGGTCGAGTTTATTAACTCGGGGTAGGTAATTGTGCAGAAGATTTTCCGCGTCGTTATGTCTCTTGCGACCAGGAAAGAACACTTCCGCGATGTTACATATTGCGACAACAAATACATTACATTGTATTACAGATAAGCAGATAAGACGATTTTTAATAGCCCCGCTTTATTAATATCTGCACTAAATGTTCATTCACATGGCGCGTTAAATATAGTTGGTTGGATATTATAATCCGCAACCCAGTTTAACCCAGCGAAGTTAGTTTCAGCCGACTTCATTTTCCTTGGCGCACTTCGAACGAAGAAAAAGTACAAAACCTGTCACTGTAGTTTTATTTTCCGAGCTCGTGTCTTATTATCCAACAGAAATTACGTTTTCTTTATCGTTGCGGATCTCGTGGACGAACTTTAAATTGGTAAAACAAATTTAAACATCATGTATGTATTTATTTATATATTAACAATAATGTATAAAACAACGTCTTACTAAATTAAATGTACATATTTCGGTGAAGTTTGTAAGACACTGTTTATACTGCAATATTGTTTTATTTAGCGTATACGACGAATACAAATTCAAAATTAAAATATCATAGAAAAATAAAATTAATATTTTCGTCGACACAAAATGCAATTGTGATCCTTCGTCGAGAAAGTTTACTACACTCAAGAATAGGCATTTGTGTAACACGTTTCTGAATTTTTGTCGATAACTGTACGATTTTTTTTTTTTGAAAATGGAATGAAATAATTCATATCTTTAAACTCCAAATCTCATCCAGGTCATTTTCTCGCGAAGCGTCACGCTTGCAGGGAAGCAAGGGGAAATAGAAAAGGAGAAGCAGGAGAAGCAGAAAACATAGAGATTCGAAAAAGTAAGGACCGCCGAAATCCGCAGCCTATTAAAATCCACCGTCAAAGAAGCCCCGGCCGCCGAGGAAGCAGCTTAAGCCTTTGATATACCGCTGCACCAAGTATTTATTATCTCGAGAGCAGCATCTTCCGCAATAGACATTTCCGGAGTAGTCCGCCCGGAGTTTCTTCCGCCGCGCCCCCCCCCCCCGGTAACGACCGCGAAGACAATGCGGTCCGCAAAAATGCCGGAACGTTCTCCCGGCAGCGTTTCGGCCGCGGAAAGACTGCGGGAGAGGAAGAAACACAAACGCATTGGCCAGGAAACGTCCGTAGTAACGGTTATTTGCCACTTCATTTGGCCCGATGCAACGTGCTGTCGATCGGCTCGGCGGCAGCGCATCGTTGAGGAACAGCCCCCATCTGCGAAGCCCGCTATCGATATTGGTAAATACGTTTTCGACCAACAGCCCCTGCCAACCAAACCGGCCCGGCCTTTCATCCGCGATTTAAAGCGGCTCGCGAAAGTGTTCGAGCACCGTTTCGAACGGAATAACTTCCTCGAAATCCGTCCAAATCACCTTTTCGAGATCTTAGAGGGACTAGTTCACACTAGAATATATCTACAAAGTTCCTTGAAAAATTGCGAACGGTTGGAACGACAAATGAAATGAGAAACTCACGATGTTTCATTTTCTTCGCCGCAGACTGTCTCTCGGTAAAAGGAGGCCATTTAAGTACAGTAATGTCTCTCTAATCGACGCTCAGATTATCCACAAAAATGTACAATTTTGGAAGAGAAGATACGATTGTTCGAGCCTTGTTGCTCGTTTTTTAATGGTTGTCGATTGTCAACAACTATAAAAACGAGTCGCAAGGTTCGAATAATCGTATCTCCTCTTTACAAATTGTCCATTTCTCTACACAACCTGAGCGTCAGTAAGGGAGACATTACTGCATCTCTGTTAATTTTGTTGTTTTTATTATTACGGTTTATCTGATTATTTTTACTAAAACAGTTAATTTTATTATTTCTATAATAACGATTTATTTGATTATTTCTATTGCGCCGATCTATGTTATTATTCTTATTATAACGATTTATCATATTATTTTCAATCTCCCATTTCTCTTTGATCGCTTTCATCAGATCTTTTGTATATCCCCTTATGAAACGAGGGAATTTAAATTATGGTTGTTCTCCCGTTAGCAGCCACTTCTCCATTCACCGATGACGGAATCGCCCTTCGTTTAGGGCAACCGACTCTATCGTCTACCCCGAAATTCGATGGAACGAACGCCCATTTTTTTCCCCCGTAACAAACAACATTACGGTTTTTCGTCGGTCGGTCCACTCGCTCGAGAGAATTTATGGCGTTGCAGTCCTAATTCCGAGGGGAGGATGGTATTGATAACAGCGCGTGGCGCTATATATATATACGTATATACATATACATATATACCGCCGGCAAAAAGGCCGCGCGGCGGTCCTGCTAAGGAAACCGCGAGGAAAAATAAAGATTCCCTTCTAGCCGTCGGTTTTTCTCCCGATTCCCCTAATCTGCACGCTCTCGGGGACACGCCGACAATTTCGCCAGATAAAAACGAACATAGACGGATGTTCCGGTTTCCATTGCCGCGGCGGAAAGAACCTGGCGAACGGAGTGTAGCGTCTTCTTTATCTGGCTCCCTCTGTTCGCGGGAATTACGCGCCCGGCAAGGTAAAGGTATTCAGGGAAATAATAGGTGCCATATTTTCCTGAGGCCGTCCACCGCGATAACAGCATCACTAAACCGTGTTTTCCATTCCCGGTGTCCTCGCTCTCTCGCCACTTAAACGAGAGAGCATCTTTTTCCTTTCCTAATTTCACCCTCTATTTCCTCTTCCGACGTACCGCTAAGCTTCACCCTTTGTACGCCGCGGCTTGACAGCGCGGATCCTCGTTCCCGCACGCTAAACCGATGCGTGACGACGCGGATATTCACTGTTCAGCCGCGGTTACGCGCCCGGCTTCGATGTTACCTTCGTAATAGCCAAAAACTAGACCGCTGCCTTTAGCATATTATTAGACCGCGGGTTTTATGCATTTATTGGAAAAACGAGCAGATTGAAGACTGCGAGGACTTTTAACAAATTTGAGAATATTGTTGCTCCGTTGGTGACTACGCAATACATTTTAGTTGACTTAGAAACGTTTTATTCTGCACAAGGATCCGTTGGCTATTTATTGTGCATTTTTTACGAAAATTTAGAAATGCAATGTATAATGCAATATAAAATGAAGTATAAGTTCTTTCTCGTTTAATAACAGTGATAATTTACTTTAATTTAACGCTGCACAATATCCGCAAGTTATTCGACCGTCATGACAGTTTTTTTTATTTGATTTATTCATTTCATCCACTTCACTGGTTCGTAATAATAATTCGCCGATCGAAGACTGGCCGTAAAAAAACAGTGTACACAATTTACAACAATTTACAAAACGTATTCACTTTGCAACCGGAATGTTGTGAATACACATTTTATGCACGTGTCTTTGAGTTTTTAAATATTTACTTCGATGTTTGCCATCCGTCCGGCAATTTTCAATATTGTTCTACGATATTTCACCATCGATATTTTATTATTGCATTCTCTCTCTCTCTCTCTCTCTCTGTGTGTCTCTCGTTTACCAATTGGTCTCACAAATATTTCCTCTTTGCTACTAGACCGTCTCAGCACGGTGCCGCGGAATAACCAAAAAGATTGCGTCGGCGCTCCATAGCACGAATCCCCCAGTCGAACATCAAAGCAAACCGAAACAGATTCGGCCGTTACTCAACTTTGCAATCCATTTTTACATGCAACTGTTCCGCGATACGCAAAACGACAAAACGATTTGTCAATCCCGCAGTGTAACCGAGTATTTCCCGGAAGCCGTAACCACTCGTCCATCAATCAATACTGTTTAATTTTACCCTCCTGGAAAAATAAAGAAGAAAATTCCACTGTTGAAAAAAATAACAGGAGTGCCCACCAATTGCAGCTGGAAGAAGCGGCCGAACGGTACGCGAAAAGAACGGACGGGCGGAAATCAAATAGTTGCTCGGTGGAAAATAAAAAAGAGGAGCGATTTTTGTGTAACACTTCAGAATTGGAGAAAAAAAAAACGATTTAATTCATTTTTCTCTTTTATAGCTTTCTATTATTTTCTCTTTTACAACCACTTGGTTTGATCGTATGCATTACGTTTGTTCATGTACACCTAATGAAGAGAGGATGAGAGAGAGAGAGAGAGAGAGAGATGTGCTCATCCTGAATTAAATGACACGAAAAGCCTACATTTTACCGAAAAATATCAAATTCAACATAAATTTTCAACGTGGAAAATTGTTCGTGCGACGTTCACCATAATTTCCCCTGGTTCCGGAATATTTTGCGTTTAATTTAAATTAAAAATTCACCTCCCTATCTCATTTCCGCCGAAAGTTCCACGATTTTGACAGAAACTTGGTCACTTTTGCCAGTTGCGCGCCGTCGAGTCCATTCTTCGAGCGTATCTCGAACCCTCGCAGCGCGTGAATTCGCCGTCATTTCCCGTCTCCTGCACCCTCTCGGCCACCCTCGGCCAGCCCCCCCACCACCCCGTTC